TTTTTGTTTTTTTTTGGTTTTCCCTTTTAAATCCTACTAATTTCCTTTTTAAGCAACACTGAAAGAACTTGCAGCATTCTCCACAAACTTCCTGGCACCTTTGAACCATCTCTTGTCCCCAGCTTGTGCCTTGCAGATGTAAAGCTTCCCATCTTTGACCGTTGCTGATATCAGCTGATGTTTGCCGCCTTCATCCCCGTCAGCAGTCCTCGTCAGCACCGACAAGAAGTAGTACTGTGTGCCGCCAACCACTGGAGTCGACGTCTCCAATATGTTCGCGGTGGCCACCACACCCGAGTCAAATCCACCCTACAAACAAAATATATTTATATGAAATGAATGCTTCAAGTCGAAAATGCAGAACATGCACTATAATAGCATTCACATGATTCATTTAGTGGGAGGTATTTCGAATTTAGAAAGATTGCTGTTTTCGTGTAATTTAGGGGTTATTGAACTCTTTGAATATAAATGCATGTGGTGAAAAAAAAAATAAAAAAATCAATGTTACCTCAGCATCAGTTTTACCAAAGTAAGCCTGTTTCCCTAGCAAGAAGTCCACCTGCAACATAACATGGGTATATAAGATTGAAAAACATTGAAAATCACTCTTAAGTAATTACCAAAGTAAATTTACTTTGGAGAGAAAATCCTCGGGAGAACCATAGTCGGTGATAGATTTCTTGTCGGTGGGTGTGATTGTGACCGAGAGGTTGCTAGTGGCATCGAAATTGTCTTCATATCTCAACACTTGACCAGGAAACTCGACCTCAGTGCTCGGGTTCCACTTTGAGGGAATGGCCACTTTGAACCCGTCCCCATTGTAAAGATTGAAATCCGTGTTCGTCTTTGGTTTCCCAAAGATATTAGCTGCATACATTTTGCTTCCATCAATCAAATGTTTGATTGATATCCATCTGGCTATTGTAAATATGTGTTTGCACACATTTTGCCAACTTAATTCTCAGCTTTGATACTTTCTAGCCTAATGCTCCATAATGTTGAGCTATCAACTTGCTCTCACATTGTGCTTATTCATAAGTTTAAAGTATTTCAAAATAAACCCCACATATTAATAATAGATATCATAAAAGATGCTGTTAAGCACAAGACACAATCTAAACAAAGATAAGAGGGAAAAACCTCTGATGGCTTCCCTCAAAAATTGTAATAATTACGCCGGTTACATTAATGTACTCAAGAAGGCCATGCTATTTTAGGGTTATCTCAGAAATCATAATCAAGATTGCATTTTTTTTTTTTTTCCCCAAGAAAACAGACGACAAGGCTACAAAATGAATTTGGAAGAAGACATATCAAGAAGTAAGGTTACACACCAGACTCTCCATAAGCAGCATCTGCAGGTGAGACTTTCGAGCCAACAGCGGCGGCTCCGATGAGGACAGTGAGGGCCAACCTCCGGGAAACAACGGCGCCGTATGATTCTTGGGCCTCGGCTTGCTTCTGAGCCCGGCAGACTGGTACCCCCGGCTTCAAAGATGGTACATGGCGGTTGTTAAAAGCTGTTCTCGCAGCTGGGCTGGAGAGTGTTGCGATGTGGTGCAAGAAACACGCAGTTGATGCCATTTTTCTTTCTCAGCTGATAAAAATTGAATCTTGAAATCAAATCACGCTCCCACACTACTTTGAATTTTTCTTTTTGGTTAGCTTCAGTACAAATTTTGATGAGTTTAGTGTGTGTATGTGGTGCTTGTTGGTGTTTGGATATTTGGAAGATTTTGAGAACGGATAAGGAGGTTGTGATTGATTGGTGCTAGCTGGAATATGTTAAAATGTATTTCCACGTCATTTCAATTTTGGGTCCCATCCCACAATGTTGTTTGTTTGTGTGCTGCTTGACATGCAATTTTGTCCAGCTTTGGGAAGTTTCTAATCATCAACATTATTGAGCATCAACATTTGTGTATTGTTCAATTACTCGTTCCGAATTATCTCTTTCAAACTTAGAAGCTAGCTAACATAAACAGAAGTAGAATAGTATAAGTGTGTACTTTTATTAAAAATATACGAGGTTGTCACTAAAGATTTTGTGACCGTTTAATATTAGGAGAGTAATGCTATAAGACCAACTAAAAATAAAAAATTAAGTGAACTATACTTCATGTGAGAATGTTATGTATATGTACTTGTCGCATTTTTCATATTAAGAACACTATCTTTTAAGCCTGGGATTTAGTTTGAATACCCAAATAAATATAACAAGTTTCTAATCAAAAGATAATCAAATGTCATTTGCTAACATTATCCAGGAAATGCAAACACAGCCTAATATGAACAAAATTTTTCAAAATAAAATAAATATAAGTTCATTCTGGGTCCTCCTCGCACATCAGATACATAAATTCTACAGCTGATTTATACATATAGAGTCGAAGAAAGAGCTTATAATTAATGTTGTCGTAAAGTAAAAAGATAAACAGCATTCTGTTTCTGTCAACTTTCTCAAGCAAAATGAAATCGTCCCTCAGTATCTAAATATCATTCCAAGCCCCAAATAGGCAAAAACTATAAACATGAGCAGATGACTCTGAAAACGAGCATTATAGGTTTACAAATACTTAAACATGACTAAAGAGGCACCTCGTGCATGGTGCTAATCTCTAAATTGCCCTATGATCTTCAGGCGAAAAGATAACACCAAGTCACCAACTCTTTTGAACCGGAAGCAGACAAATCAGCGAAAGATAGCTGGAAAAATGCCCGGCCAAGTTTATAGCGTCCTCAACAGCATCTTTTTACTATAATACCTTCCAGCACAGAGAATACTGTTTCATGTGGAAAAATTACAATGTTAAAAGTCATTGTCAAGAGAGATGGTCATAAGAAGCGAATGTACGTACACTTTTATTCGACCAAAAGTTGGAACAAAAATATTACACACTTCTTCTTACTAAAGATGTTTGATCAAAGAAGGTCTAAATTCAAAACAAACCAATGGCTTAATATATCATTTCCATACTGAATTTCTGATGTTGCTGATAACAAGTACGCCTACTATGAGTTCAGA